TGCTTTTCCTGGATCTAACAACAAAATATGTATCTCAATGACCTTGACTTAATAATATCTGCAAAACGGAGAACATGCCTTTCCCTAGCCTCTCGACACAGACATTCCCTGGCCAGATGTTCCTAATAATTTACCATGTATGAGTTTGAGTAGGAATAGACAGGAGCCCTATAAAAAGCTATAGGGTGAGTCCCAGTCCAGCATGAACTACTTAGTGATGCCCCTTTGACAAACTAATAAGCACAAACCAAAACAAAGGCTAATCATGAAAACAAATGTCAGCCTTTCTTGTCTCCTTTTCTAGTATAGTTTCTTCCATCTTATAGCCAAGGTCCACAAGGAGATTAACCAAGTGTTTGGGACACACTAGCTTTCTAATATGGCTGAGTGCATTTATAGCCAGCAATGAGATCTGCCACCACATAGCATGCTGTCGGCTTGGAGATGTGCTCACTAACATTGCTAGTGGCTCATACACAACATTTAATTGTTATAAGGGCCCCTTAAAAGTGTCCTACATAGTATTTTTCTGCTTATGCTGAATCAGGAATCCTCCCTTAAAGGAGCTGCACTAGAGACAAGCAGAGGCTTGTCTCTAGCAAAACAGCCCACCCATGAAAAATGCTGCTATTAAAAGCCTTGCTTGTCTCTGTTCTTTTGCTTCTAAAATCCCTTTTAAAGCTTTCATCAGATAGTAGACAGGGAGACAACAGGCGTGGAACTTTTAGTGACACAGGCCAGTCCCAGACAAACTCTCATTAGAGAAGACTCCAAGGTAGGTTGTCTGTACCTTACGTTTCCTTAAGTTTTTCAATGGGAAATGTTTTATATTTTATAGAGTTGGTGGTTGCATAACACTGTAAATACACTAAATGCTGCTGAACTTGACAGACATTTAGTTTTTATGTTATTTAATCTCAATTTAAGATAAAAGGTCAGAAGTTGAGGAGATGGCCCACCAGGTAAAGGGTATATTTTTGTAAGCACTGGGATCCCTGCATCCACCTGAAAATCTAGGCATGGTGGTACACGTATGCATCTCACAGTGCTGAGGTTGGGAGAGATGGATCTATATGGATGACTGTGCCTTTTTAACCACACAGGCTAGTCACATGGGTGAGCTCTGGATCCAGCAAAAATATATTAGGTATTAACGTGGAGGGCAACTGAAGAGGATACGTTGACCTTGTCCTCCACATGTGCACCCATGCACACACAATGAAGGCAACAACAATACCAACAGAAACAATAACAATAAAGGCTCATTCTGTATAGGAGTGTATATTTGAGGTATATTTGGGAGGAGTCACTTGTGTCCGGAGCATTTTGGGTCAGTGTGAGAATAGAAGAAGGGAAGTAAACGGATGAGATTAAGAGTGAATAGGTTTAGGGTGGGGGAGGGGGCAACCATCAAACATTTACTCTGTTCCACTCGTGTCATGTCTGAGACCTGGCTTGTGTGTGGGTGACATCACTTGAGCTCCTCTTTCCCCTTCTCCCCAGAGAACTCATTCTGCAAGAAGAATTTCACACTGAGCTTTTCTAGGCATGTCTACTCCTCAGTTCTAAGTGGTCCATTATTGCAAGTAACAAGAAAGACTAATAGGACAACCTAAGACTTATTTCTGTGCTTTGAGATCAATGGCAATGACTTGGCATGGTTTTTTCCAGATGTACCAAGCCAAACCCATCATTTCCTGCCTGCAATCTGATCTTGATCTGGGCCTCAAAAAAATGGCACACTCACACCTATCATCCACAGAGCCTGCATATAACAAAGTGACAGTTACTTTTCCCTGCTATGATTTTTCCCCTCATCTTTCATCCCCACCCCCACATTGGGATGCCTACTACACACATTCCCTTGTTCCTTAGCCTCCACTATGGTCCTGATCCCAAAAGGATGGAATTTTTTTCTCATTCATAAATGTGACAATTTTCCATGATTATACCTCTCATATGGCTCCCTGTTGCTTCAAGATGAATTGCAGGCTCCTCCCTAAATTACAAAAAGCTCCATGTGATCTGGCTCTCACTGGTGGCCAAGCCTTGACAGTGAGTACATCCTCACATCTATAATTGCCCCCAGCCAGGCATTCGGGTTCTGGTTCACGCTGTTGCTTTTGTTTGGAACACTGTCTCCAACTTTCTCCACTCTCACATGTGACTTTCTGGTGGCCTATCATAAACACACAAGTTGACTCAGTTCCCATTCCTGCCTTCCTACAGACAGCTATTTCTCCCCTATTCAGTCCAATACCCCGTGACGTCCCTCTATGTCACCATCCATTCTAACCTTTCACTGTCTGGTGATCAATTTGTCTTCTGGACCTTTAGTAACAAGCACTCAGTGAGGCTGGGCCCAAAGCCTGTTAATCACACTTTTGTCTCCCAGCATAGAACTGTCACAGTTCGGTGAACACTAGTTGAATGACTGTTGAAAATGCTGATTGGCTTAAAGATATTGGGGACCGTATCCTAGAGATGAATCATTGAGAGAATATCTGGATATATTAGTGGAATGTAAAGTGTTTTGGAAATGTGCTAGGACAAACCTGCCCCATGGGAGCCTTGGAACTGTTGAAAATCAAAGGAAGCAAACATTCTAAAACTATGGGCTCTGTTTATTGAAGAGCAGAAATGAAACTGGTCCATGGCTATGTTTAAATATAATCACAGACAAGAATGGGCAGTTACCCAAATGCTCACCTTTATGTGATATGCCTGCAAATGTAGTGTTAAAGACACAAACATATACACTTAGTTATAGGCAGTCACCTGCTTAAACATACAATTACAGAAGCATAAAGGTGAAGTTAAGCACAACATTGAACATACACATGGTAGACATGAAACAAGGGTTCCACCCTAAATCATGTATTTAAGATGTTTACATGCCAAGACTGACAGGAATGGACACACATACCCTCAGATACACAGATAAGAACATGGAGACATGTAGTGTGTAACCGCTGATTATGTTCCCAGATGAATCCAACTAAAACTAATAAATATAAAACTTAATCAATCAGCATGGGCATTGCAGTTGTTTGAATGAGAAATGTCTTCTCATTCAATCTTGGTGGCTCTTGAGGAGGAGGTTTAGGTGATTCAGCCTCACAGGAAGAAGTGTATCAGTGGACCTTGGACTTAATATTAAAAGATGACATACTATTTCCTCTTTGCTCTCTCTGCTTTGTGATTGGGGTTCAAGTGTCGAGATCTCAGCATTCAGCTACTGTGACAGTGCCTGCCACTAATTACCATGCATCTCCACCACAATCGACTATTATTATTCTGGAAACATAAGCCCAAGTAAACTTCTCTTTTGCCTTCATTTTTTTATGTATTTATTATTTTTTCTTATTTCACATATCGACCAGTTCCCTCTCCCTCCTTATCATACCCCCTGACCTCTCTTCCATTCCATCCCCCCCACACTCCCTAGGGAGATTAAGGCCTTCCAGGAGGGATCACCAAAATCTGTCAAGTCATTTGGAGTAGGGTCTAGAACCTCCCTCCTGCCTATAGGCTAAGGGAGTGTCCCTCCATGGGGAATGTGCTCCCAAAGTCCTTTTGTGCATCAGGGATACATCCTGGTTCCACTGTCAGAGGTCCCTTCTAACTGAGACCCATGTTCAGGGGGGTCTGAGTCAGTCCAATGCTGGTTTCCCAGCTGTCAGTCTGGGGGTCTATGAGTTCCCAAATGTTCAGGTCACCTGTCTCTGTGAGTTTCTGTAGCCTAGTCTTAACCATTTTTCTTATCACTCTTCACTCTCTGCAACTGGATTCCAGGAGTTTGGCTCAGTATTTAGCTGTGGGTGTCTGCTTCTGTTTCCATGAGGGCTCAGTGATGGCATATAAGTTAGTTATCAATATCATTATCAGGGAAAGGCATTTAAGGTAGCCTTTCCACTGTTGCTCAGATTGTTAGTTGGGGTCATCCTTGTAGGTCTCTGGACATTCCTCTAGAGTCAGTTTTCTCTTCAAACCTATACTGGATCCCTCTATTATGGTATCTCTTTTTTTCACTCTCATCTATTCATCCCCTGACTCAATCTTCCTGGTCCCACATGTTCACCTCTCCTCCCCTTCTCGTTCTCCTAACTCCCTCGGCATGCTCCCCTACTCCCAATATACTCCCGAGATCTTGTTCCTTTTCCCTTCTGTGTGGGACCTTGTGCAAATCTCTTAGGTTCCTCCTTGTATGCTAGTTTCTCTGGCAGTGTGAATTATAGGCTGGTACCCACACCTAGGTATAAGTGTTGACTATAAGATCCTGTTGGGATTTCCATATTCTTCTCCTAGCTCCTTCTTATCCACAGTCACTCTTGTCTCAAGATCTACAACCCATATATCTGGACTCTCCCCTTCTCAGTTACTTAAATTCAGAACTTTTCTCACTGAAGGGCTCCCAGTGTTGGGTGTGCTGGGGTGACCCTGCAAACCCAGATCTCAGGAAGCAGACATGGGTGGATCTCTGTGGTCTACATATTGATTTCCAGTCCCACCAGTACTACATAGTGAGAACTTGTCTCAAACAAGGAAAAAAACTGAAGTTCAAATTCATAGCTATTTATCCTGTATCAAGCTAATGAAATATTGATTCTTGTCCTCTGAGACCCTAGTATCACAGCATTTTGGTCCCTTCCCAGGGGAACCCACTCCACACACAAAGCTCAAAAGTGTCTCCAGGATAAATACTATAATGGATTAGTTTCTGTCTACTGGCCACTGTTCTATTCCTCTATACAACAAAGCCCTGAAGTACTTCCTCCTTAGATGTCACAAATTCAGTCTACTCCCTGTTCATCCCTCAAGGGACGGACCCTCCTCCTCCCCCGTGATAGTTAGGTAAGTCCCAAAACAGGAACATATTGGTGGATGGTCTGACTATGAAAACAGGCAATTGCATAATCAAGACCAAAGGCCACCCTTCCACCTCAGGATGTATAAATGCAAACCAGTTCAGCCATCACCGTCTGTCTGCCACCCTCACTTCAACCATGCTGGCCTCTGGACTGCTCCTGGTGACTGTGCTGGCCTTCCTCGTTGTCCTGGTCTTGATGTCTGTCTGGAAGCAGAGGAAGCTCTCAGGGAAGCTGCCTCCAGGACCGACCCCATTGCCCTTCATCGGGAACTATCTTCAGCTGAACACAGAGCAGATGTACAACTCCCTCATGAAGGTGCCACTGGGAAGGAAATCAGTAGCATGTGGGCATGGAGAGATGTACACTTTTGATTTAGGCTTTGTGGTAGTGAATTGACCAGGGTGTGCAGTTTTAAGCCTAAAAAATTTGAAGTATATGCAACCATTTCCTAGGCATGTGAGACCACATTTTGGAATATCTCATTTGATAACTATTAGAACTCCAGACAAATGAATCCAAGGCCTGACATCAAGGCATGACTCATCCCCTCTAACCTTGTTCATCCATCTCCATCAGATCAGCAAACAGTATGGTCCTGTGTTCACCATCCACCTGGGGCCTAGCCGCAGAATTGTGGTACTGTGTGGACAAGAAGCTGTCAAGGAGGCTCTGGTGGATCAAGCTTTGGACTTCAGTGGGCGTGGAGAGATTGCTGTCTTTGACTGGCTCTTCAAAGGCTATGGTGAGGGGAAACATACAGGGGAATGTGACTATACATATTTAGAAGGCATAGGTTCCCCAGGAACTTCCTTCCCTTCTTCTCCTAAAATAGCTACTTTCTGTTGTGTTAGTTCTCTGATACATCATGTCCTAATATTCCTGCCTATCTCTGCTTGTACCTCCTGATCCACCACTACAACCCAGGACTTCTCTTGTGCCTTGAGATCGAGGTATAAGAATCCTGTGCCTCTAATATGCTCTGATCCTTTCTACCCATTACCACCCCATCACTATTACTATTAGCTTATTTGATTGACCTGGAAGCTGTCTCTCTTCCTCTCCCCTGGTGTCCTCTTCCACAGTTAGAACAACACGGAAAATCTGTTTCCCAGTGCAGTCTTCCTTCAAGCAATCCTACCTGTTCCCTGACACGCCCCCCTCTCTCTCACCCTGGTTCCCCCTTGCTCAATTATAAATCTTTCACAACTGTACCCACCCCTAGATCTCCACCGTCTCCTTTCTCCTGCCTCTGCCGTGTCCCCATTGTGTCTGACTACCTTCTGTCTCGCTCTCTCTATTGTCCTTTAACTGACTCTCTCTTTTTATGTGTAGTTTGCGGAGTTGTGCACCTTTTTCCTTCAGGTGAAAAGCTCAGGGCTGGTCAGTGGTCATAGATGTCCCTACTTTTGACTTCTCCCCACCCCTCATTCAACTTCCCAGGAGTGGCCTTCAGCAACTGGGAGAGGTCCAAACAGCTGAGGCGCTTCTCCATCGCCACACTGCGGGACTTTGGCGTGGGCAAGCGTGGAATCGAGGAGCGCATCCAAGAGGAGGCGGGCTATCTCTTGGAGGCATTACATAAGACAAATGGTAAACAGAGCCCCACAAGTAATCAGGAAGGACCAAGGAGAAGACACGCTAGGAAGAGCAGCATCATGACCCAGCATGAGAACTGAGATTAGGAACAGGGTCCTAGTGTGGGACCTGGTGTCTGGGTTTTGGCGAACACCATACTGTAGTCAGTGCTCATTTTGAATTCTCTGAATCAAAGTGTCTGATGCTATCACCCCAGTGATGTTTTTCCTGGTTCCAATGCCACACTCTTCTTCCCTCTCCCCACCCACAGGTGCCCTCATTGACCCTACCTTCTACCTGAGCAGAACCGTCTCCAATGTCATGAGCTCCATTGTTTTTGGGAACCGCTTTGACTATGAGGACAAAGAGTTCCTGTCACTGCTGAAGATGATGCTGGGGAGTTTCCAGTTCACATCTACCTCCACTGGGCAGGTAACCTGTCTCAGCTTTGTCCTACCTCTCCAACACCACATCTGCTCACTCACTCCCAAACTGCCAGCCTCCTTACAGCAGGTACATTCAAACTAGCCCAGTAATTGTGCCACAACAGATTAAATACACAGTTTATACATCATCAGAGCAGACAGTGAATGCACACACACACACACACACACACACACACAGAGAGAGAGAGAGAGAGAGAGAGAGAGAGAGAGAGAGAGAGAGAGAGAGAGCTGTCTCTACTGGGTGGACATTACCATCACAAATCAAGTTACTCTCTAAGACAAGGATGCTACAGGAAGGCTTACTGAATACAGGAGCCCCATTCAGTCCTTGAATACCTGGTGCTACAAAATCAATGTCACTCAAATCATGTGTCCCCTACAAAATGTTCAGAACCAGCCCACTGGACTATGTAGATCAGTTGCCCCTACTTAGCCACGGAAATACCTAAACCCCAACACCTCTAAGCAAAATTTCTGCACAGAAATTCCCTCAAGCACTCCAGTTAAGATTCTTCCAGCACAGACTACTCACACCCCTAAGTAGGGCCCTCTGTGCAGCCATTTGAATAACAATACGCAAGACCGTGTGAATGTCAACACTACCATAAAACACTTAAGTTTTAATTTTGGAGGGCAAGCATATATTTTGTATTGATCCTATTCGCCCCCATTAGACAACCTTCTTTTTCATACCTCCTCCTCTTTCTATAATCCTCCTTGCACCTTGTGCACTGTGACAGTTTTTCTTCTATTTCCTAGTGATACACACACATACACACACACACACGTATATATACATATATGTATATATGAATACACATACATATATATGCATATATATTCATATGTAACACATGATTTAACACATGTATACCAAAAATGAAAAAAATTACATGAGCTCTCTAAGACTGGTTAAAATTGCTTAATACAATTATCTTTAGTTGCATCCATTTTCATGAAAATGCCATAAGGCCAAAAAATAATTTGATTGTGTGTATAGATCACATTTCCCTTCTCCATCACCCTGTTTTTTGGAAACTTGGGTTGATTGCCATCATTTAGCTTTGTGACTCTCAAACACTAATTTAATGCAATGGCTGTTAGAGCTCACAAATGCAAATCCTTTTAGTATGCGAACAGCTATCTCCACCTGAAGTCACTCAACCACCTAAAGATTTACATGGGCAACTCCTAGCCAACAACTGGTGTCTCCTATCCCAGCCTCACTTGAATACCACAAACCTACATGTGTTCCAAAACCCATCTCACTTAAAACTTGGACAATGGCCCTCATGCTTAAACTATAAGGAAACCCTGTTGCCATGCAGCCCACTCCTAACCTCCAGGACAGGTGATGTGAATGTCCCTTTGTTTTAGGGCAGATGCCGCACATGTTGGGTTTTAACCAGTGACAGCTGTCTTGGTTCCACATTCTCTTCCCACCAACAGCTCTGTGAGATGTTCTCTTCAATGATGAAGCACCTGCCGGGGCCACAGCAACAGGTCTTTAAGGAACTGAAAGGACTGGAGAACTTCATAGCCAAGAAGGTGGAACAGCATCAGAACAACCTGGACCCTAACTCCCCAAGGGACTTCATCGACTCCTTCCTCATCCACATGGAGCAGGTAAACCCAGAAGACGGGAGTGTGATGGGAGCTTAGAAGTTATGGAGAATGACATCGGGCTTAAAGAGCATGGAAGTAACAGGACCTCTCATTTCTCCCCTTATTATAATCATCATTCAACATCACTGTTCCATCCACTTCTCTTTTACTCTCCGGAGGTGTGTACAGGCTGAGGTAGCAGCCAGGGTAGAGGGCTTCCATGTTCTAGGTACTGTTTTAAAACATTAGTTTTATTTATTTATTTAATACCCACAAATATTGAGTGAGGCTGTGTCTCAACTCCCATTTTCCAAATCAAGAGGTTTCAGCCCTGTGAATATCAGTGACCTGTCTAATATCACAGCAAGAGGGTCATGCATTGTATGCCACTGCATTTTACATCGGTATGAACTGAGATTTACTGTGATCTTCTTGCATTTGTTCAGAACAAAGATTTTTGCCATTGGTGGTTTTGAGGTAGGATATTGCTATGTATACCTGACTCATCTTAAAATTGCTGTGTAGGCCAGCCTAGCCTCAAACCTGTGATGGTTATCCTGGGCCTGCTTTTTGTAGGCTGGGAAAACCAGTGTGTGGTATCTGGCCAGGATGGAACTTCTTATAGTCTTAAGAGCAAAAGATTAAGGGTGAGATTAATTTATGAAATATTGAAGTTTATAATTAAGAAATAATATCTTATTGTCTAAATCTCATTGTCTGAGGGATGGAGAGATGAATCAGTGCTTATTAGCACTGGCTTCTCTTCAAGAATTTTGGGTGTTCAAAACCTAGAGCCCATATCACAGCTCACAACCTTAAGATTCTAGTTCCAGTTTATTAGATGTCACCTGAAATCCTCTTCTGGCCTCTTACTGATCACATTTAATGCTGTGACAAACATAGAGGCAAAACTCACATTCACAGGAAAATACTTTTTTTTTAAAATAATCTCTGGGTATCTATCTCAGAAAAACTGTCTCTAGTTTTCAATGTCTATTCCATCATGGTATCTCTGCCATTGTTCTCAAATTCTTTTCCCATCTTTCCCTTGTTAAATATTTCTTCCACTTGAAAACTGACTAATAAAACAAATGAATTGCTCATTAAAGATTAGACAATCAACTAAGCCATGAATGAGCACAGGATTAGGGCACTGGATCATGTTCAAAAGTCTAAAACCTGGAGAGAACCTGGCATAGATAGGACCCCTCTCTGTACCTCATGTATGAGCCAAAGAGAAGTGAAATCTGGTGGGTGGCACAAAACACAAGGGAGCTAAGTGCATAAGAAGTGAGCTGGACTTGAATGCTTCCCTCCTGCAGGAGAAGAAGAACCCCAAAACAGAGTTCTACATGAAGAACTTGGTGATGACGACGCTGAACCTCTTCTTTGCTGGCACAGAGACTATCAGCACAACCCTACGCTATGGCTTCCTGCTGCTCATGAAGCACCCAGATGTGGAGGGTGAGGCTGCAAGGGACAGGAAAGGGGGATGGGGTGACATCATAGGTTCTGAACTTGCTTGACTGATCTGCCACAGTATCCCCTACCTCTCTCAAGAAACTGGACTCTCAAATAGCTATCCCCTGTTCTGCAAAGACAGTCAGTTGGGCACTGTTCTCTAGTCATTGAATCAACTGGCCTGTTGCTCATCAGAACTTCAAAGGATCATTTTTTTCTGTCCCCAAGACCCTCCCTGAGTCTCCTTCTTCAAAATTCCCACAAAATTCTGATATGATTCAGTCAATAAGAACTTCTTCCAACAATGCTTATGATTTTCATGTTGTATAGAAAATGATTGATAATGCCATACACTTTTTCACGGCCTCTATCCAGTTCTATGGTTTGCACTCTCATCCCTATGGTGAGATTCTTGGACCCCTAAACACATCTCTCTTCTTCTCAGCCAAAATCCATAAGGAGATTGACCAGGTGGTTGGCAGAAACCGGCAACCCAAATATGAGGACCGCATGAAGATGCCTTACACAGAGGCTGTGATCCACGAGATTCAGAGATTTTCAGACTTGCTCCCCATGGGTGTGGCTCACAGGGTCACCAAGGACACCAAGTTCCGGGACTTCCTCATACCCAAGGTGCTGACTCACTTAGCCTGTAATCACCTCCAGCCTTCTTCAGGGGACTACAGGCCCTTCTCCTCATTATAAACCACCCAGAACTCTCATTTTCTCAGTGACAGGATTTCTGGGTTACCACCCCCTCTGCCCTCCTCTGTAAAGTCTCCTAGAACTTGGGTTTCACTCCAGACTTTCTGACCTGGGAGTTACAATCCCATGTTTCTCAAACATCACCAGAATCTCAAGACACATAAACTTAATTTACCTTTACCTCCTGTGAGGGACAGGAATCCATTTCTGCCTTGTATCCTGTTTAGGCATACATAAACCAATGAACTGCGATTATTGACTTGAGAGGCACAAAATGCATATCTGACAACATCTGACATTAGAAGACAGACCTTATGCCACTCACTCATCCTGTCTCATATATTAGCCCTATATCTCCTTTCTCAAGGATAATGACATCACATTCCTCAAAGATCCTCCCTAAAAGTCCCCACCAACTCTCATACATTACTTTTATCTTCACCTGGGATACCCTAACTCACCCTGTTATCCCATATCAGATAACAGGACACTAAACCAAATTTACCATTTCAAACTTTCTTCATTGACAGGGTACTGAAGTGTTTCCTATGCTGGGCTCTGTTCTGAATGACCCCAAGTTCTTCTCCAACCCCAAAGATTTCAACCCAAAGCATTTCCTAGATGACAATGGACAATTTAAGAAGAATGATGCATTTGTACCCTTTTCCTTAGGTAAGACATCATTATTTAGTGCCAAGCCACTACTCAAAACAACAGTAATCTCATCTATAGCTCCCCTCTGAAGGAACCATCTTGGAAAATTCTTAGTTCAAATCCTCAGGCAATTGGCTGCAACTCCCATAATTTCCAATAACCATGTATCTGAACCCTGGAGAAGGGATGGTCAAAAGTTCACACAACCAGTTCTGAGAAAGAATGTGGCATGTTTACATGGGTGGCTCTTGGGAGGCAGATGAAGGAGGATCTCTGTGAGTTCAAGGCCAGCCTGGTCTACAGAGTGAGTTTCAGGACAGCCATGGCTACAATGAGAAACTCAGACACAAAAACAAAACAAAACAAAAAACACCAAAAAATAAAGCAAAGAAACAAAGGAAGGAATGAAGGTAGGAAGGAAGAAGGGAAAAAGGAAGGAACAAAGAAAGGAAGGAAGGAAGGAAGAAATAAAGGAAGTGGCTACATGGCAGCCATACTGGGAGCACCTCTAAAGGGAAGGGAATCCATATTTCACATTGTTATAGCCTGGGGTGGATCAACCAACAAGTACAAGCAGACTCAGAGACTATAGCCTTCTTTAAAGGTCTCAGCACTTACTCTCATGGAACATACAGCCAGGAGTTTGCTGTGGGGTAATGGCAAGAACTGGCTTCTATCTTCATTCTTCTGTCTCCTCTCTTTAGGAAAACGGAACTGCTTTGGAGAAGGACTTGCTAAAATGGAGCTCTTCCTCTTTCTCACCAACATCATGCAGAATTTTAGCTTCAGATCTCCACAGGCACCCCAAGACATAGATGTGTCCCCTAAACTTGTGGGATTTGGCACAATCCCACCAAGCTACACCATGAGTTTCTTGCCCCGTTGAGCCAGGGCTTGATAAGGGAAAGGGAATGATGGAGACCAGGTTAGTGGGGGCAGTTGTGACTTAGGAGTCAAAGGGGCAGGAATGACAGAGGACATGAATAGACTTGCTGAAGAGTGACTGCCATTTCAAAAGTACAATGAGAGAAAGGGGAAATTCATGGTATGATGTGAATGATAATAATAATAATACCAATAAATAACAACAATAACAATAATATTGAAGACATTATAGAATAAGTATTCTTTGTCAAAATTTTGCGGAAGTGTACAATGAACACAGTTCTCACAAATGCATGGGAAGGGAAAAGCGTTCATGTCCAGTTTGATAGCGAGGCACAGTTTTAACCTTCTATTATTTCCTTAGCCTAAGTTTATTGAAGTTTCACCAATTCCAAGAGCTTGGAAATACTTTCATGAATATCTGTGTGCACTGGCATTGGGAAGATTTTAAAATATTACCATATGTTGAGAGATCAGTCTACTGACATATAATGCTGTTCAGAAATATCCCAGAGCTTCCGGTGTGCTGTAAATAGTCTTTACCATTCAACTCATACATACTTTGATCTACTTTCATAAAATTGATTACCAGAGCAACATCACCCACCCTTTGTTAGTTAAACTCATTGTGTCAGACTCAGAATCCATCTAGAGAACTGGAATGAGGCCTCTTAGTGAGGTCTGTAGGGGATAAGGATAATTTTAGAGAGTGTCTGTAAAACTGACATGGATGGGCATGTATGTGTGCATTTCAGGGTTTCCTGGGAATGCGAGTGACCATACCTTCTGCCAAGTGTTAGTTTCCAAAGACCTAGTGTTTTCTTAAAGATCTGGGATCATAGGCAGTAAGGAGTTTCAAAAGCATATGTATAAATCTGATGAGTGTGTAGCTGAGTAATGCACAGTCTCAACAGCAGTGGATACATTAGCTGGGTATCTTTACTTATTTTTATGATGTCAGTATCAGGCAGACACAAGAAGGAGGAGAGTAATAGGGCATTGAGATGGTGTCCCTGGGAACGTCATTACAAACTCTTCCTGGTGGTGCACTTCAAACCTACAAGCTTAAGAGTCTTCCTGGGAGAATGAATAGAGGAAGGGGTTGGAGATAACTCAGTTGGATAAGTGTTGCTAAGCAATCATGAGGACCTGAGTTTGAATCTCCAGCACCCATCAAATTCAGGCCTAAATGTACATGTGACAGCCTAATCCTGAAAGGTGGTAGAAGGCATCCCAGTCCAAATGAATCATGAACTCTGGACTTAATTAGAGAAACTGTCTCAAAATAAAATAGAGAGAGACTGAAGAAGACATGCAGTTTTTACCTCTGGACTCTACCCACATGCACACACAAACCTGAATGCACATGCTAAAAGGTACACACACACACACACACACACACACACACACACATGCGCATGAACACACACATAGAGGAAAGACGGGATAGCTCAATTTGAGCAATAATACACACACACACACACACACACACACACACACACACACCTACCTTCAGGGGAAGGGACTATGGCTATCAAGCCATTGTCTGAAATGGAGTGAGGAAAAAATATAACTACCCCTGTAACGTTGGAAAAAATTGAAACTATGTAGACATGACACCATTTGCTGAGAAAAGGCATATTATATCCTAAAAGAAATTACCCCCTCAAACATGGGTTCCCAGCAAGGTGTTGACAGGAGCTCAAAGTACCCTAGAGACTCCATAACTGCAGGAGGGAACCATGATTCTCATAGAGTTTTAATTCTACATGGGGATTTGCTCTGCAAGTGATATTTCTTACATAACAAGCTAGTGTTAGAGAAGAGTGGTCTCACAGAGTGGTGTGTGTTCAGGTTCTTTCTTAAGGTCTACAGATAATGACTAAACTACTCTGGGTCAGCAGGTGGATGAAGTAGTAGACACATAACTCACTGACAAGTCACAAGTCTGCATCCTGAGAACACAAGCAAAGATGGTCACAAAAGACAATTATGAAAGGGAAGTGATTGGCCAAATGACCACTGTCATCATTGGCAGTGGAAAGCAGTGTGGTCTTCAGTATCTGCATCAAGTAGCAATATTTGTCTCCTAAGATCAAGTATGAAGAGGCATGGACATAGCCACAGACTGGTCAGCTGTTATGAATCATGCAAAGCACTGAAACATATAGCAGTGGTCTTCTTTACTCCATTATGAACTGTTCTGGAATATGCCATATTCTCATTATCATTTGAAGCTCAGGCCTTCTCCCATGTATCTAGGCTGACAGAGTATCCCTCTATGTGGAATGGGCTGCCAAAGTCCATTCATATACTAGGGATGAATACTGAATGACTACCAGAGGCCCCATAGACTGCCTAGTCCTCCAAAATAACACCACATTCAGGGACTCTGTGTCAGTCCTATGCTGTTTTCCCAGCTATCAGAATGGAGTCCATGAGCTCCAAAGAACTGATGGACACTGAAGAAATTTCACCCTCAAAGGTAACAGCGCTAGTCACCTAAGTCACATGCCTTTCACCTAAACAGCTACAAAGGACTTTTCAGCCTGTCAATAAGAGGATACAGGAATTCCTAACAGTTGCCTAAGGCCAATGGTAAGTGAGTCTTCCAAAAGGATCCTAGTCCATAGGACGCTCTGGAGTCTTGAATGCCCACACCTACAGCAGAAGGCAGGTGGCTTACAGTCTTGGCCCTCAACAACTGTGTAAGACTCTGTGAGGGGCTGACCATGCCACAAGTTAGTAAGTCTCTGTTATTCTGTAATCATTAATTGAGGTAAAATTTTATCCTTCTTAAGAACTCTGATGCAGTTTGGTTGTTGGTAGGTTTCTTTATAACTTCTTTCCATTCCTTTGCTTTAACTGTGGGTGTCTGCTTCTGGTTCCAACAGCTATTAGATGAAGGCTCTAGGGTGGCATATAAAGTAGTCATCAATCTCATGATCAGGGAAAGGCATTAAAGGTAGCCTCTCCACTATTGCTGAGATTGTTAGTTGGGCTCTGCCTTGTAGCTCTTGGGCATTTCCCTAGTGCCAGATTTCTCCTTAAATCTATAATGGCTCTCTCTATTATGGTTTCTCTTTTCTTGTTCTCCTCTATTCCCTGTGTCAATCTTCCTGTTCCCTCATACCCACCTCTCCCCTCCTCTTCTCTCCTTCTCTTTCTCCTAATGCCCTCTCCACAGCTAAACACAAGCTGAATTTCTGGAATCCAGTTGCAGAGAGGGAGGAGGGATGATTAAAGAGGTTATGACCAGGCTGGAGAAACCCACAGATTCAGCTGACCTGAACAAGGGGGAACTCATGGACCCCAGTCTGATAGCTGGTAAACTAGCATAGGACTGACCCAGATCCCCTGAATATGGGTGTTAGTTAGGAGGAATGGGCAGTATATGGGGCCTCTAGTAATGGATCAGTATTTATCCCTAGTGTAAGAATGGACTTTGGGAGCCCACCCCAAATAGAGGGATACTTTCTAAGTCTAGGCCCATGGAGGAGGGCCTAGACCCTGCCCCAAATGTTATGACAGTCTTTGAAGACTCCCCATGGGAGGCCTCACTCTCCATGGGGAGCATAAAGGGAATGGGCTGGGGTTTGGTGGGGATGATATGGGAAGATGGGAGGGTGAGGGAACTGGGATTGTCATGTAAAACAGCCTTGTTTCAAATTTAAATAAGAAAGGGGAAAAAGTGCTTTAAGTTATGAAGTTGATGTGAGAACATGACAGCTTAATATATAAGCACCTAACAGTGCTTAAAGTATAATAAAGTAACTTAAGGTGTAGAAACACAAGTTATCGGATTTCTTCCTCTATCATTATGCTACTGTCTATAGTCTTAATATTTATCAAAAAGTTTATCTAACTACTAATTCAACTCTGACACATGAATTCACTTCTCTATACTGGAAAGATAGATGGAGTGACTGAGAGGAGGCATCGCCCTCCTCCTGAAGTTCAGCCAATGCTTGTCTGATGTGGGCATCATAGCTATACTCCAGAGGTTAAGGCTAAAAGTCAGGAAACCATGTGATTTCAGGCAAGCATTTGTACTTTCCTGACCTTTGCAAGTTGCCACATGACTCTGAATGTGAATAGGCTGATCTTGCACTGAACTTGGGTCATTATTTCTACTATAGATTTCCAGTGGGATCCATGCAATACATACATTTCATGTTGTAATGGCCACGGTCCTCATACTTCCTGGGCGATTTGGTCTAAATGTGGGAGCTTGTGCTGGTTCTTAAATATGGCAGATGGAAGGAGGATGATAAAAGGGCAGAAGAATAAGAGAGTCACATGTAGTGGTGTTTTAACCCATCTGCTTACCTCCATCAACCTACTTCTTTCTTGCAAGCTTTACATTAGTGTACCTGCAAACTTCCCAAATAGTAGAATGAGCTAGGTACAAATTGTAGACATATGAACCTATGACATAGATTTATGTTGTTCTAACAATATGAAAAATTCCACTTTTTATATAAAAGTAATGTTTATGGTCCCGGAAGGATGACTCATTGGTTAGGGATGCTCATTGTTTTTCCAGAGGACCCATTTTGGTTCCCTGCAACCATATCTGCCAGCAAACAACTGCATGAAACTCCAACTCCTAAGGATCTGCTGTCTTCCTTTAACCCCTTGGAGTAAACAGACACATGGGGCAAACACAAACCCACACACATGCACACACACTGCAACAAATTTGAAACAAAGTGGTTTACCTAATGTATAATAATTAACAGATTGCCCAAGATCAAACACTCCTTTTCTCCAGGTGGATACCTGTCTAATGTAGCACAGCTTGGTAGAGTGGAGAAAGTAGATCCTGTCACATGCAGAAGAGACTAACCACATGGAATTGCCTTGGTTCATAATAATGCATTTTCTGACAATCCAGCCCTCTCTGTAAGACCAGCATTAGTCTATTCTGTGGAGTACCCAAAAGACTAAAATCCCAGTAGGCTTCAGCTCCGGAGGGATTTGCCACCTCTCAGCAAAACCACACTGGTACCAAGCTTCTAGCACATGAACCCACAGAAGACACTTAAACAACGTTTAAGGCATAACACATGGAATAGTCAAGAAAAAAAGTGTAGTTCCAGAGAGATGGCTCTCGATTCCAAGTGGTAGTAATACTGTGTTGCAAACACCAGGAGCAATCAACTCAGCTCTCTCAAGTGTGTTCAGCATGCCAGGAAAATCACACCCAGATATCTG